TTCCGCTGGCTGCGAGCCCAAAATAAACATAAATAAAGTCTCTGGCAAGAAGATAACAGAAAGCAAATCACTTCTCCAAGTGTCTCTTTGAATCAGGGTTACAGAAAGCAAATCACTTCTCCAAGTGCCTCTCGCAAACAAACCACGAGTGATGAACGACGAACCACAAAGGAACGAATGAACGTTGACTTCTGCAACCAGGGTGTGGCACCATCAGTCCTTTTACCTCCACAAAACGACACTAACGAGCCCCAGCTGCATTGTTATTCCTGCATCCCGACTCAACTCACAGCAAACTTCTGCTGAGTCACAACACTACCTGTAGCCTCCATTACACACACCAAAGTTAATGACCACTGAGCCACCCACCCAATACGGCCTTCACTGATCTGTTGAAAGGCGTGTGAATACAGCTGGTAACTCACAGGTGTATCTGTCTCTACAGTAGCCTCTTTTCCTCCCTCCTTTTTCTCACCAAACCTGTCTTTGGCATTTTTATATACTTCCAGACTCGATCCCACATTGCATTCCATGCATTCTGCTGGAGGGTATGGCTGACTCTCTGCCAAGCAAGTTGCGAAATCCAGACAGGTCTGACTGTTTGCCCTGAAAAAAAAATCAAAACATGAAATAACCATCACGGGATTCAGGGTTTCCTAAGCAGGAACAACCTCCTTATAAACACAGAGCTTGTTTTTCCACAAATTCTCGCCCTTGTTAACTTAGCACCCTAGAAAAGGTGTACAAAGTTTACTTTTTAGCATCTCCTGTTTTTAACGGCCTCAGATCTCACATTGATAACAGTTGTTATTCATCAGAGACTGTGGCAGGGTGGAGCGGCAGACAGCTGCCAGCATCTGACATATATACATTTAAATGGTTATTGCAAACAGAAAGGTCCTTATTGCTCCATCCCAGACTGAGGGTTTTCTTTGAAGCCTTTGCAAGGTTTTGCAAGACAATATGAAGCATCTTGCATATTTTTCCAAATACGTGCTTGTGTGCATGTAAGGATGTGGGTGTGGCTCTGTCAATATATATGTATATGTCCATGTTGTGCATCTGTAATCTCGGCAATAGAGAAATTACAGAATCTCTGGCCTCCCAAATGTTGTTCAGGAGAAATCAGATCGGCTCAGAGAGAACAACCAAAGGCCAGGGGTATGAATCTATTCTGGTCTTTTTAATCCACTATTCTACCTCCTACCGTTAGGACAGAATATCAGGACTCTCGCCCTCTTTATTTCTGGCCTTTCTTTGAACAGTTAAGCACCTGACAGTCAATTTAAAGTTTTTAAGCAAGTACTGAAGCCAAACGTTTTTGGGAAGATGATGTGGATTGTGGCTTTGCTTTACAACAGGGGTACCTAACCAGGGGTGGGCTCCTACGGGTTCCCCCGGGTTCGGGAGAATCTATAGCTAACGTTATAGCCTGTTCGGAGAACTTCCAAATCCCACGCCTGACTAGCCCCTCCAGCCCCACCCCTGCCCTCCCCAGGAGTCTCCACACGGCCTGTTTTGTATGCGAGGTAACTGCAGGGCCTACGCGGAGGCTCGGGAAGAGGGTGAAACGGGCCTCCCAGAAGTTCCGGCAGGCCTCCAGAGCCTGGGGGAAGCAGTTTTCACCCTNGAGAGAGAGAGAGAGAGAGAGAGAGAGAGAGAATAACAGAGGTGGAAGGTTTCTTAGTGTTCTTAAAGTCCAACCCCCAACTCAGGCAGGAAACCCTATAACATTTCAGACAAATGGCTGTCCAATATCTTCTTTAAAACTTAGAGTGTTGGAGCATTCACCACTTCTGGAGGCAAGCTGTTCCACTGATTAATTGTTCTAACTGTCAGGAAACTTCTCTCCTTGATTAGTTTGCTTCTCTCCTTGATTAGTTTGCACCCATTGCTTCTTGTTCTGCCCTCAGGTGCTTTGGAGAATAGCTTGACTCCCTCTTCTTTGTGGCAACCCCTGAGATATTGGAACACTGCTATCATGTCTCTCTAGTCCTTCTTTTCATTAAACTTATCTTTTTTTTAAAAATGCCCAAACTACTATTGTTCTTTAATAATTTTATTTTTCTAGAGGAAAGGACAAAGTGATACCCTTCCCATGTCATGTGCCAAAGTGGCACAAAGTGGCACAAAGTAGCAGTTGAATACTTCCCCAACACTGGTGATAGGACAATATTCTTTCTGTTGTTGAAAAAGTCAAAAGGCTGCGTTGAGAGGCACAGATACACCATGTGTAGTGTATACTTTCTGAATCCCACCCTTTGCCCTCTGGAGCATCTGCCTCATGCTGCCCTGTAGTAGGACTGACATTATAGATTGCATATTAACTTGGAATCTGAAATGGAAACCCTAAAATTATTAGCGACATTCTGGCATATTTACTTTCCAGCAAGAACTCACTTGCTTTTCAGAGTCCAACTTACATGATCGGGCATAAGAAAAAATAGTTTACATTCAGGACATTCTCACCCAATCCATTCAAAGTCCCAACTTTGTCAATCATCCAGTGACTGATGGTGTGATTGGCCAGGGAGTCAAACATGCTGCTGAGAGCACTGGCACCAGCTGCTGTACCAATCAGATATTCGAGGATTAGGTTCCATCCAATAAAAAAAGCCACAAACTCCCCCACTGTCACGTAGCTGTAGGTGTAGGCGGAGCCTGTGGTTTTTGGTACCCGTACTCCAAATTCAGCATAACAAACCCCTGAATGGAGACAAGAAACAGATGCAACCATCAATAATTAGAATGCAGACAGAATAAAGCAAACAAAACCCAAATCTTATCAAATATCCTCACATTGGAAATGTATAATTGCAAAGCAATTAGATTTTGCTTTCTTAAATCAAGTTTTAAATTATTGTAATGAAAAGGAGGTGATAATCACAGATAGGGAGGTCACTCATTGTTAGGAATATAATCTAACGGCTGGGTTGGCAATATATAAATCGTGTAACAGTGCTATACCTGTTTCTTTAAATCATACTGTCAAATGTGATTGGTTGCTGTTTTTCCTCAATCGGCCATAAGAGAGAGCCAGAATGACTGTTAGCTCTNCCCACCAAGCCATGCCATGCCCCCGAGCCATACCCACAAAACCAATAGTACAAATTTTTGAATCCCATCCGTGGGGGTGGGATTATATGGAGTGGGGTAGATATGAGGGGCATCTCCAGTTGGGACGGTGCTTGATTGGACCTGTGGGTGCTGGGCAGGGACTTGAACTTTCGTTTGGGTGAGGAAAACCCGGAAGCTTTCAGATTCGGGTTTTCCCAGATGGGCTAATATGACATCTCTAATAAAGTGGAACTTTGAGGAAACTCAACCCTCGGGAGTCTTCTTTCGTTGGGGGTGTTACCTGGAACCCTGACATTAGCATAGTGACCTTTGAATCCCAAAGGGTGAATTGAACATCACTATTTTTATATTTCATTGAAACAACAAAATTGAAATAAATAGGTGGAAGAGAGGCTCTGTGGACATGGAAGCAGGCACAGTTTGGATTTTGCTTTGTAAAATATTGCCTCTGTCTCATTATTGGCAGGCTAAAGGTGTACAGCTATAAGATGAGAAGGCAAATTTTGCAGTTCATCCTAGGACGCAGTTAGGACATTCTAGTGCATATCCAAGCTAAAAAATAGTGTGATGGTTTAGCCCTTTATATTTCAAAAAGGAATGGGATATAAGCTGAATGACAAACAAGCCCCAAACCCTTCAGCAGTCTAATTTTCTGGAGGAATTGCTTTTTAAAGAAATTTATTGTTGTTATTGGGCAATTCAGACTCTAATGAGGATATTTGTTACCTAAATGTGATCAGGGTGAATGATACCTATATTCATTAGTTCCCCCATTATATACATTTTCAAAACAGAATTTGTTCTGCTTTGTTCTTTTAAATAAACCCCTATCCTAAAACTTGTTATTATTGTCATGTGGATCTTGAACGTACTTATGCACAATTTGCATATTTAGTGTATTTTATTCAGTTAATAGTAGAAAGGTGTGTCTTATTTTGGTAAATACAAATTTGCAATCTGATCTACTTTGCATAATTTGAAGTATTGTGCTTTCTTATGACAAACAAAGCCCTAACATGTGTCATTTCGTGCATAAAAAGAAGAGCCTCCTTTGAATCTCAGTCATTTCACAAACGCTGTATCATACAATTTCTATTGTTTACTTAGTATCCTAGTATGATTTATGTTGATTGTTTATTTAGTATCCATGATTTTCACTGTTGTATCTAATATTTTATGTTAAATGTATTTTTCAATGATTATGATAATGATCTATCACTATTGTTGTATTTTACACTGAGAGCTTATCCACTGGAGAAAAATTCCTTGTGTGCCTAATCACACTTGGCCAATAAATAATTCTATTTTATATGCCCACAGTTTTCTGGACAAAAATAACAGAAGAATTTGCTATGCTATCATGAGGGATGTTTTTTCCTGCTCTTTCCCTATAAAGTAAAACCTCTGGTCATGACCATAATTCGTTCCATAACTTTGGTCGCAACACGATTTTGTCGTGTCCCGAACCTAATTTTGTAAATTTGGCACTTACAAAAAATATGGCGCAGAAGGGGAAATCAGCCACAAAAAAAAGTGAATTCTTTGGTCAGAACCCAATTTAGTCTTGATCAGAAGTGTTTCTGACCAGAGGTTCTACTGTACCTGGAATTTTCTGGTTGTCTCTCATTGATATTCTAGCCAATAAGAATTCTGCTAACTAGGGACGCGGTGACAGTGGCTATGACACTGAGCTTGTCGATCAGAAAGGTCAGCAGTTTGGTGGTTCGAATACTGAGCACCGTGTAATGGAGTGAGGTCCGGTTACTTGTCCCAGCTTCTGCCAACCTAGCAGTTTGAAAGCATGTAAAAATGCAAGTAGAAAAATAGGAACCATCTTTGGTGGGAAGGTAAGAGCGTTCCATGTGCCTTCGGGGTTGAGTCATGCCGGCCACAGGACCACGGAGACATCTTCGGACAACGTTGGCTCTTATGAGCAGTGCCCCCTAGAGTTGTGAACGACTAGCACATATGTGCGAGGGGAACCTTTACCTTTTAAAGAATTCTGCTTGCATTTTTACA